GGGGTCCCTTCCACCCCTGAAGCGCCATTCATCAGTCCTTCTTCTGTCCCCTGTGTCTGTCATGATGAACCATGATTCCAGAGAACCAATGACAGCAGACGCCTCCCAGCTGAGAGCGGACGGACTAAAGATGAAGAAGGAGATGCCATTTGCCGGCACGTCCGTCATGGGAACGTGTTGACTGGACCACAGCTGTTACACGCATTTTAAGTGTTTCTTTCTTTCAGGGGGGAGAGGGGAAGTGAGACAAAAACACAGTACACCCAGGGCCCATCATTGCGTGTAATGAACTCCCGGGGCAACTAGATGGAGCAGTGGACACAGGATGGGGCCTGGAGTCTGGAAGACTTCTCTTCCTGAGTTCAAATGCGGCCTCAGACACTTCCTAGCTGGGTGACCCTGGGCAAGTCACTTCACCCTGTTGGCCTCAGTTTCCTCATCTGTAAAATGAGCTGGAGAAGGAAATGGCGAGCCCCTCCAGTATCTCTGCCAAGAAAGCAGTTGGGCATGACTGAAAAGCAACTAAACAACGACAACAAGGCCCCAGGAAATAGTCACCTCGTTTGGATCTGCATTTTTCAAAATTATAACTATATGAAAAATGCAGTCATTGGTTCCAGCCCAGTGGAAATGGGCAATGAAAATTTAAATAATGTGACTGCTTCTCAGGAATTCCCTTTTTGTGCTAATCCGGATCTCACTCTAAGTGTTTGTTAATTGAATAAAAAAAATTAAAACTTTTTTTGAAGAAGTCTGGATTGAGGCTTAGGAGGCCTGAGCTGCAGATCTGCTGGGCCCTCCACTCCACCTCCAGCTCTCACTTTTGTGGGCAGTTTCCCTTGGAGCTGAGCCCTAACTACTGCCCAGGGCTATAATTAAGATAAGGTGTTTGAAAGTGTTTTGTAAACTGTAATGTACAATACAAATGCTAGAGAGTGTTAATGGCAGAATGGGAGACCCGGTGACTGAAGGGCTGGGGAGATCTGGGGAGTGGCCCATGTGTAAGGCTGTCCCTTCCAAAGAGATTCGGGATAGAGTCTGGGGAGGGGCAGACTTGGGGAGAGGGCCTCCAGTGGGAGGGGATGTTTCCAGAAGTGTGGAAGCTTCCAGCTTCAAAGCCACCAAACAATGGGTCTGCCTCAGTCGCCTTCCCCGTAATATGGGCTCTGGCACCATCCCCAAGGCAGAGTGCAGGGGTTATGGTCACAGCCCCACCCTCCTCATCCCAGACACACATAAACCCCCTAGGCGCTTCAAGGGCCTGGTGAAGGCAGGGTATGGGGCAGATCTGGGTAACAGATGGGAACCTGGGCCCTGGGGGAGGGAAGTGGAGGTCTGGATTAAGCATGGATTCTGTGCGTCTTTCCAACTAACAAGAATCAGTGGAGGAGGAACAGCGAGATGGGAGAAAGGAACAGAGCTGGGCAGAGACCAAGGAAGAGACAGAAAAGATGTGCTGTGTAAGTGTGAGCTTGTGTGTGTGAAAGTGTGTGTGTGTGTGTGTGTGTGTGCGCGCGCTGAACAGGAAGCCGGGATACCCACGTTCCAGCCCCGTGCCAGCCACTGACCTGCTGCGGACTCAGGGACACCACTTCCCCCTCACAGATTGTTTTCCCATCAGCAAAAAGGGGATAAGACCACCTGAGCTGTCTCCTGAAGGGGGCTGAGAGGAACAAACAGCAGTGGGCGTGGAAAGTCCTTGGGTAAAGTGAGCCAGGCTGGTGTTGGATGGCTGTCCAGGAAAGAAGGAACAGTGTAAGAGAACTGAGCCTCAGAGGGATGGGACAGGAAGAGAGCTGGGTTCAAGGGCCACCTCCGACCACTGCTAGCTAGCTATGAGATCCTGGGAAGTCACTTCAGCTGTCTCAGGCTCCATTCAGGGTCGGAAGAGCTTCCATCCATCCTTCTGGGTGTGCGTACACAGACACCGGCAGGTGAGGCGCCCCAGGCCTGAGTGACTGAGCACCCCCTCCGACCCACAGGCTCCTCCGTGGTCGCCAGGTGCTGGGACTGTTAGAGACACCGGGCTTGAAGTCGGAAGGCCCAGGTTCAAACCCCACTTCTGACACTTATTAGCATGTGACCTGGGCCAATCACTGTACCCCTCTGAGGTTTTTTCTCATCTATAAAACGGAAATGACATGGGAGGTGGCATGACGACATAATGCCTGTGAAGTGTTCTGGGAGCTTTAAAACAAGACAGTAAACTCAGGATTTTGTACCCACTTATCTATGTACACGTTGCCTCCCTTGGTGGAACTACAGTTCCCTGAGGGCAGGGACCATGCTCCTCAAGAGCAAGAATGTATCCTCAGGACTTACTACAGGCCCAGCACACAGTAGGTGTGTTATTCACGTGGGCTGGCACATAGTAGATGCTTAATTAATGCTCGTTAATTAAGGATTCCATCTCCAGCAGGTCCACCTCTCATCCTCAGGAGGCGGCATGCTGGACTTACAGTCAAATGAGCTCAAAAACCAATCTGACACTTCCTAGTTCTGGGATTTGGCATGTCACTTCCTCCCTGTGTACATCAGTTTCCTCATCTGTAAAACAGGAATAATAATGATGATGATGATAATGATAATACCTACCTCAGGAGCCTGTCACGAGGTTCCGTTCAGATAAGGTATGCCCAGAACTTTGAAAACTACAGGGACGGGGGCAGGGACCCATCTTGTGTCTGGGGTCTTTTCACAGTATAAATCCTTCCTACCCTACGGGTCTATGTTTGACACTGTTGACCACGCTCTCTTCCTAGATACTCTCCTACATCTCTGACTGTTCCTTCTCCATCTTTGTTGGTTCGCCGACCACATCATCCCGCCCAGAGCTCTGTCCCAGCTCTCTTCTCCCTACGCTTTCTGTTTTGGTAACCTCACCAGCTCTCATGGGTTAAATTAGTCTATGCAAATGATTCTCAGATCTATATATCTCCCTGACCTTTAATCCTGGAACATAAATTGCCTATCAGACATCTTCAATTCAACATGTCTAAAACTGAATTTGTCTTTCCCCCAAAGCCTTCCCTCTTCCAAACTTCTCGGTTCCCACTGAAGACACCGCTACCCTTCCAAGGTTCATAATCTCACCAGCGTCCTGAACTCCTCACTCTCACTCACATCTTCATTTATTGCTCAGTTGTTTCAGTCACGTCCGACTCTTTGTGACCCCATTTAGGGTTTTCTTGGCAAAGATACTGGAGGGGTTTGCTATTTCCTTCTCCAGCTCAGCTCAAAGATGAGGAAACTGAGTCTTCCTGACTCCAAGTGCACTGTAGCAGTCCTATCTTCCCCACATCTCCAACTGGAGGCCAAATCTCGCTGTTTCTACCTTCACATCTCTTACCTATGATACCTCTGCACTCACAACAGCTACCATCACAGCTCATCTCCTCCTGCCTAGCTCATCGTACCTGCTTCCTGATTGGTCTCCCTGCCTCAGACCTCTCAATCTCCTACTCTGGTCGAGTCAAAACATACCTATAATCTTCCTTAAGCGACTCCTTCCATGTGGTTCTTCCATTCCACCAATCCCAGTGGCCTCCAGTAGGAGGCCTTTAGAATAAAACACAACTCCTCTGTCGGACCTGTAAAGCCCTGCAAAGCCCGGCCACCATCTTCCTTTCCAGCCTCACTGAAAATCACTCCCCTTCCCACACTCTGAGGCAGGTTGGCCTTCTTCCCGGTTCTCACTCATGACCTCCATTGCTCTTGACCCAGCTAGTTCCCGAGCCCAGAATGCTCACTCCTCATCTCTGCGCCAGAGAATTCCTCTTTCTTTAAGAAGCCCATCTTCTGCTTAAATCTTTTCCTGACCCTCCCAACTGCTACTGCCCTCCCTCCTTCCCAAACTACCTTATAGTCAGGACTTTGTGTGTGTATAGTATATTTACGTGTATATATGCAGGTGTTAACTTCTGAGTTACACACTACATTTTCATATGCGTTTGCTCTCTCCCCCATTAGAAGGTGAGTTCACTGTGAGTAGGGACTGTTCCATTCTTTCAACTTGCAATCTCGGTACTGGGCACATAGTAAGTACTTAATATTGCTTGACTGATTGCCTTGGTAACAAATGCAGGTGGGCACCAGTTTTCGATCTGTCCACCGTGGCACAATGCTGCTCATTTACAAATTACAAAAATGCAAGCTATCCTCATTATTATGATGATTCTTCCCTAGACTCCCCTCCCATCCCCTCGGGCTCATTCTGTTTTCACAGGAGTCTTTGGGTTGGCACCCTCCACAGACACGGCTGTTTGACATTCGAAGCGAGGTTTCAGGCAGGCCCAGTGCGGGTTGGGGGAAGAGCAGTAGGGGAGATGGAGGAGCCCCGAGGCCTCTCTGGTGGATTGTGTGCCAGAGGACAGGAACCCAGGCCAAGCCTTCCCTCCTTCAACTGTTCCCAAGGCCCAATTAAGTCGCGTCTGGGATCAAACTGGGCATCTTCCCCAATTTCCCTAAGGGGGGTTCCAAAGAAGGGAGGGGACAAGAGCATACCAGGCTTCTTTGTTTCTCACTGCCCAGGCCATCATTTCACCCTATTCCCTTTCCCTGACTCCCACAGCTCATCTTAGACCAGGGAACCCCACTCTGATCCCCATGGGAGGCCAAGTGCCCTGAGGACAGGAAGGCAGTTCTGCCCATCAGGCCTGTGACTCCCCGAGGGCAGGGCCTGAGTCTCCCCATCAGAGTTGGGGTTCCTTAAGGTCAGTAACTGTCTATCCATATGAGCCTGGAGGTATCTGAGGATAGACCTGTGTCCCTCATTCTGTAAGACATCCAGGAAGGTGATGCATGAAGACCTTTCGATGATTTTTTTTAAAATGAGTGTTTAAAATTATTTTTAGGTGATTGGGAAATATCTAAGGAAACAAAAATATTTTGTTTAAAAAAAAAAGATTTTATGATTGTGAGGAGAAAGGCAAAGGAGAAGGATGGAGGTCAGAGCTGCCTCCAGCCTGGCCCCAGCCACAGCTCCTGAGCTCTAGCCCTACCTGGAAAGGGATGAGAGGCTCTTTGTCATCGATGTCAATCAGCACTTCATCCCGGGAGGTCACGAGGCTAATATCATCTACCGGGAAAGAAGAAAGGCAGCCATGAGATGGGCCCCCAGCAGGTACCACCTCCCTGTGGGCTCAACCCACCACTGTAGACCAAGGCTGGGGTCCTCGGGGGCGGGCATCATCCCAGAGAGATGGGGGCTCCTGGGGACCGCTCACTCGTGCTCCTGTTATGTGCACAACTGTGTCTCCTTCTCCCTGTTCTTTTTCTCTTTTTTTCCTTTTCCCCACTCCCTATCTGGATTTTGGTCTGTCTTCTGATTCTCCTCTGTCTCTGTGTCTCTCATCTCTGACTGTCTCTCATCCCATCTATACTCTTTTCCCCCTTCGTCTCTGTCTCTTCTCTCTCTCTTTTGATTCCCTCCTTCTCTGCCTCTTTCTTTCTATACCTCTCTCCTGCTCCTTCTTTCTCTTTCCTTATCTCACTCCCACTCTCTCTCCTTTCTTTCTCCCTCTCCTGCTATTCCTTTCTATCTCCTTTCTCTACCTCTCTTTCTTTCCCTCTCTTCTTTCTCTTGTTTTCACTTTCTCTCCCACAATCTCTCCATCCCTCTTCTCTTCTTTTCTCCTTCTCTATTGTTTTCCAGCTCCTATTCTCATTAATCCCTCTTCCAACAAGTCTTCCCAGAGGCCTCCTGTGTGCTTATGGCTGTGTTCAGCTCCACAGTGGGGAGAAAAGAGAAGACCTTATCTGGGTTTGCATCTTATCCTTGTATTAGATTACAAGTTCCCTGAGGGCAGGGATGGTGGCCTATTTCACCTTAGTACCCTGGGTCCTGGTGCCCTGCAAGCCAGGCATGTGATAAATGTTTGTCAGAATGGATTATAATGTTTGTTGGAGAAGATGCGCCCTCCACCCTCAGGGAGCTTACAGTCCAAGAAAGCAAGTATACGTTGGGAGAGTCCCGTAAAGACTGTGGCCTTCATCCCAGGGGATGGGGCTGATGAAGCTCTCCCCTCCATATCCCCCCACCGTGTCCACCCTCCGTGACCTCCCCAGCAGACCCGGGCCCCATCCCTCCGTACCGGAGCTCATTTCAGGAGGGGGGTTCTCGGACGAGTATGGCTCACACAGAAACTGCTCCAGTGAATGGATTGTGCACTGGCCCACCACGGGCCGCCGTCCAAACTGGCGGTTGTCAATGACCTTGATGATGATGGGTGGGCAGTAGATCCCCTCCCGAGGCAGATGCTATCGCAGGGTAAGAGAGAGGGAGAGGCCATGAGCTCTGGATAGGATCCCAGACACCCTCCTCAGCAGCGCCGCAAGCTTTCTGCTTTGGAATAAACCTACAAGCGGATCTCCATTATCTGAAGAAGAATGATGGAGACCCCATCAGGCCCTGAGACCCGAGTGTGAGGGAAGGTGGAGCAGAAGCCAGGGGATGCCGCTCATGCGCTTACACTTATCCTATGATAATAATGGCTTTAACGTTGGCAATCGCTTAATAATATCATCTCATTCGGTCCTCACTACGACCCTATGAAGTAGGTACTAATGTTATCCCTGTTTTACAGATGAGGAAATTGAGACTTAGAAAGGGGAAGTGATTTGCCTCTTGTCTCAGGGCTAGAGACATGTCCAAGTTGAGATTTGAACTCAGATCTTCTTGACTCCAAGAACACAGATCTACCCACTTCCCATATTTCCAAATGAGAAGTACGGAAGCCAGAGGATCCAAGATCACAGAGTGAATCAGAAACAAGGTTGGAGGCTCAAAAGTCGGCCTCCAGATGCCCAGACACCTAAAGGCATCTAAAGGGCGGGGCAGGGGACCAGCCTCTCACCACATCCATGAAGAGGGTGTTGACATCAAAGTTGGGGTTCTTCCTGATATTCTTGATGACGCAGGACTGAATGACCTGGTCCCCGCACTCCACTACCAAGCTTGGGGATGTGATGCTGGACAGCTGGTAGCTCTTCAGATTCCGGAGGCCCCAGGCAAGGATCTGTAGGGGCGGGGGGGGGGGGGACACCAGCCATGGGAGAGGGCCTAGCACCTGGGCCTTCTCCCTCCACTCATCTCCTGAACCCCAGCTCACCTCAATGGCCGTTCTCTGAAGAACGGGCTTGATGCCTTGGGGGACCACATAGATGTTCGCCTCTCTCTGAGGAGGAGGGTATGGGAGGTCTGTGTCTCCAATCTACAGAGGGGGAAGGATGGAGGGAGGAAGAAAGAGACAGAGAGATAAAGGGCAGAGACAGAAATAAAGATGGAGACAAAGAGACAGAAATGGAGAGGCAGAGAGAAAAAGAAAGAAAGAGACAGACAGAAACAGAGAGGCAGAGAGACAGAAAGAGAGACAAAGAGACAGAAATGGAGAGGCAGAGAAAGAAAGTGACAGAGACAGAAATGGAGAGGCAGAGACAGAAATAGAGAGACAGAGACAGAAATGGAGAGGCAGAGACAGAAATAGACAGAGACAGAAATGGAGAGACAGAGACAGAGGCAGAGACAGAGAGACAAAGAGACAGAAATGGAGAGGCAGAGAGAGAAAGTGACAGAGACAGAAATGGAGAAGCAGAGAGAGAAAGAAAGTGACAGAGACAGAAATGGAGAGGCAGAGACAGAAATGGAGAGGCAGAGACAGAGGCAGAGACAGAAAGAGAGACAAAGACAGAAATGGAGAGGAGAGAGAGAGAGAGAGAGAGAGAGAGAGAGAGAGAGAGAGAGAGAAATGGAGAGGCAGAGAGAAAGAAAGAGAGACAAAGAGACAGAAATGGAGAGGCAGAGTCAGACACACACAGAGAGAGAGAGAGAGAGAGAGAGAGAGAGAGAGAGAGAGAGAGAGAGAGAGAGACAGAGACAGAGACAGAGAGACAGAGACAGAGAGACAGAGACAGAGACAGAAATGGAGAGGCAGAGAGAGAGAGAGACAGAGAGACAGAGACAGAGAGACAGAGAGAGAAATGGAGAGGCAGAGACAGAAACAGAGAGACAGAGACAGAAATGGAGAGGCAGAGACAGAAAGAGAGAGACAAAGAGACAGAAATGGAGAGGCAGAGACAGAAACAGAGAGACAGAGACAGAAATGGAGAGGCAGAGACAGAAAGAGAGAGACAAAGAGACAGAGAAATGGAGAGGCAGAGACAGAAACAGAGAGACAGAGACAGAAATGGAGAGGCAGAGACAGAAAGAGAGAGACAAAGAGACAGAAATGGAGAGGCAGAGACAGAAACAGAGAGACAGAGACAGAAATAGAGACAAAGAGACAGAAATGGAGACACAGAGACAGAGACAGAAACAGAGAGACAGAGACAGAAATGGAGAGGCAGAGAGAAAGAAAGAGACAGACAGAAAGAGAGAGACAAAGAGACAGAAATGGAGAGGCAGAAAGAGAAAGTGACAGAGACAGAAACAAAGACAAAGAGACAGAAATGGAGAGGCAGAGACAGAAAGAAAGTGACCAAGACAGACACAGAGAGGCAGAGAGACAGAAAGAGACAGAAATGGAGACAAAGGGACAGAAATGGAGAAGCAGAGACAGAGACAGAAATAGAGAGTTAGAGAGACAGAAAGAGACAAAGATAGAAAGAGAGATTTTTACATGTGACGCAATAATTGAAAGAATTTTTAAAGTCATCACTGAACAGCAGTCAATGCCCTCAAACATCCCTCCTCTGCCCCTCCTCCACCAGCCTGCCCCTGCCTCCCACAGACACTGGTCCTGGCCCCAGCGCTGTGGTCCCAGGACTCAGTGGAGGCTGATGAATCAAAGGGAGGATGGATGATATGGAATGAAAAGAGAAGAAAAGAATGGAAATGTGCAGGTAGGGAAGGAGATCAAGCCCAAAGCATTTATTAAGCACCTACTATGTGCTGGCACTGTCCTAAGCATGAAGAAAGTAAAAAGAGGGCCCCTGCCCTCACGAGTTCCCATTCTAGTGGGGGGAACAGCATGAAAATAACTAGGTCCCTACAAAGAGAGATAGAAGCATAGGCAAAAGGAAATCTGAGAAGGGAGGGCATGAGAGCAGGGGAGGTGGGGTGAGGGGGGATGGGAAAGACCTTCTGCAGAAGGGATTTGAGCATCCTGAGGGAAGCCAGGGAAGCTGTGAGAAGAGATGAAGGGGAGCATTTCAGGATGCAGTGGAGGGGGGCACAGCCAAGGCAAAAGCCTGGCATCGGGAGATGGAGTGCGGCATGTGAAGAACAGCAGAAAGGCCAGTGTAGCCAGATGAAGGGAGTGCATGGAGGGAAGTCAAGTGTGCCGCGAAGGGCTTTAAATGAGTAGGGAAGATGCTTCTTGGAACCTAGATGGGAGAGCATGAAAGTTCTATGCAGAAGTGCAAGGCTACCTCCCACCTACTCTGTAGACACCTGTACGTCCACAGCTGTCTGTATGCTGTCTCCTTCGTTAGAATGGGAGCTCCTTGAGAGCAGGCTCTTTGTTTGACTCCTTGCCCAGGGCCACAAAGTATCTGAGGCGGGATTTGAACTCAGGGGGATGAGTCTTCCTGACTCCAGGCCCAGTGCTTGGTGCACTATGGTGCCCCCTAGCTGCCCAGGTTGTGAGAATCAAATGACATGATATTTGGAAAGCCCTGAGCACAGTGCCAGGCATGTAGTAGGTGCTACATAAATGCTTTCTCCCCGACTCCAAGTTCATCTCTCTAAACACAACACCAGGTTGTCCTTGTAACTTTGCATTCATTTGGGTATATTTTGCATTAACTTACGTGTATCCATCCCCAGGGGTCTATTCCTGCCTTTCTTTTATCCCTAGAACACAGACCTGGCTGGGGTTCTGTCCCTGTTCTTTTCACCTCTTTGTCCCCGGGACAGGAGGAAGCTTCCCCCCTGAGCTGCTGCAGCGAGCCAGGAAAACCCAAGGACCAGCTTCTTTCCCCATTCTAGTTTTGTTATCTCCCCTGAAGTGCCCAGGGAAATCACAATCAGGCAGGACTTGGCGAATTCGCCCATTTGCTGGCAGAACACATTCCTGTCCGGGTCCCTTCACTCTCTTTAGTATCCAGTCTGGGCCCCATCTCTGACCTCTTCCACATTCCAGGAGAGCTCAGGAGCAGCTGCATTCCTTTAAACAGGAATCCCCCCACCCCAAGCACGTTTAAAATCTGCTGCACTTTATAGAAATGCAATTTGCTCACAAGATCTCCGAAACCCAGACGATGGTGAGATGGGGGCAGGGAGGTAAAGGGGAGAAAAGTACCGTTTGGATGAGACCCTCGAGGAAGAAGGCAGGTGCACACAGCTTCGGAGAGCCAGGCCCAGGAAAGGAGGACAGGAAACAACAGATAAAGAAGGCAGTTAGAACAAGTCAAAGTCCCGATGCTGGGCCCAGGTCATCATTCCCAGGGACCCAGGGGCCTCTGGGAAGCCCCCCTTTACTCCATGCTGCCCCAGAATGTTTCAGAGACTTCTACGTCCTGATTCTTCCTCTGCAAAAATAAGTGTTGACCCGGATGACCCGAAGGAGGCGTCTCTTTCTTTCACGGATGAGGAAAGGAGGTGACCAGCTCCAGGTCACACCCCTAGCCAAAGACTGAGGTGGAATCCTGGTTCGGAAGGCAGCTCTCAACATGCAAGCTTTTAGTATTTATTGGCCTGAATTGGATTCGCCCTTTACAGTAGCATCCTCTCTGGTCTCCCACCTGGCCCAACTCACCTGTATTTGCACCACTTCCTTCCCTGTAACATCCTTGGCTCAGAACATTTGATGGCTCCTGACTGTCCCCTCCATCAATCCCATATCCCTCTGTCTGCACTACAGTGCCCTCCATAATCAGGCTCAATTCATCTCTACGACTCCCCCTGTTGCAGCCAAGCACATCCCTTCACCGTCCTCTGCACACTCTATCTTCTGGCGATCACCCCCACTAATGCTGCTACTACACCCTTATACAAACAGCCCTCAGTTCAAGCTAAAAGGATGTATTAAGCACCTATCATGTACATCTCTGGGTACTAGAGATACAAAAACAAAAGTGAAATAGCCCCTGTCCTCAAAGACCTTTCCACTGAGGGAAAATATGAACATAGAAGAAAAATAGAGAAAGAAAAAAAACAGTAAAAATTAGGGGATCAGGAAAATCATCCCATTGTAAAAACTGGACCTTGAAGGACAGCTGGGATTCTGAAGTGCACGGAGGAAGAAGAAATGCACATCAGGCATTCTGGTCTCTAGATTCAAAGGCACAGAGATGGAGGCCCAAGTTTGGGGAGCACAAAGCAGGCCTGTCTGTCTGGAACTGAGACTCCATGAAGAGTAGAGATGTCCACAGAGGTAGGCTAGAGCCAGACTGGATTTTATCCTCAGGGCTCTTGGGAGCCACTGAAGATTTTTTTAAAGAGGTTAGGAAGTGGTAAACCACTCCAATGTCTTTGCCAAGAAAACCCCAAATGGGGTCACCAAGAGTTGGACATGACTGAAAAAGACTGAGTGACAAAAAGTTGTATGGTCAGAAAAACCTGGAAGGACTTATATGAACTGATGCTGAGTGAAATGAGCAGAACCAGGAGAACATTGTACACAGTAACAGCCATATTGTGTGATGACTAACATTGATAAACTTAGCCCTTCTCAGCAACGCAAGGATCTAAAACATCTCCAAAGGTCTTATAATGGAAAATGCCATCCACATCCAGAGAAAGAACTGTGGAGTCTGAATGCAGATCAAAGCATATTATTTGTGCGCTCTCTCTCTCTCTCTCTCTCTCTCTCTCTCTCTCTCTCTTCTCTCTCTCTCTCTCTCTCTCTCTCTCTTTGTTTCTTCTTTCTCATGGTTTCTCCCCTTGGTTCTAATTTACAACATGACTAATGTGAAACTAGGTTTAATAAGAATGTGTGTGTAGAGCCTATACCAGATTGCATGCTGTCTTTGGGTGGGGGGAGAGGAGGGATGAGGAGAAAATTTGGAACTCAAAATCTTATGGAAATGAATGTTGAAAACTAAAAATAAATTAATTAATTTTTTAAAAAAGTAATATGGTCAGAGCTGTACTTTAGGAAGATTGTTTCAGAAGCATTGTAAAGAATCAATTGGGCAGTGGAGAGAGAAGGCAGGAAGACTAATTAGTAGTCAGACAAGAGGATATGGAGGCTGGAGGTAGGGTCACAGCCTTGTGAGTGCAGAGGAGGGAACACCTGGATGTCCTGCCGCTTCTCACTATCATGATACCCAATACCAGACTGCCCATCTTCCCTCACCCCCTGGCTTTCATAATTCTATAAATGGCACAACCATCCTCCGCATCATTCAGGCTCAAAATTTTGGCATCTTCTTCGATTTTTTCCTATGACCCTATTTCCCTATGAAGTAGCCTATGACTCTGGCATTCAAGGCCCTCCTTGGCAGACTGTCCACTTCCCTGTCCAGCTTTCTTTCAGGCTGGTCCCCTTGATATTGGTTCCAGCCCAGTCGCACTCATCCACGTCCCTGGTTCTCAGGCCTCTCACTGCCTTGGCCCTCGCTCTCCCCTAAGCCTGCATCAATGATGGAGTCCCAATGACGGGCCCCAGCCCACCCCCAACAGCTGAGCACTGGAGATGCAAAGAAAAAGGACAATTCCTGCCCGCAAGAAGTTCGGAGTCTAATGGGGAGACAAGATTTAAACAACCAACATAAAACAAGACGTATGTTAGACAGGACAACCTGAGAGCAAGGAGTCAACGCCAGCCCTAGGTCAGGGGCTCCCTCATGTCAGGGCCTGTGTCTCCACCAGGGGAGACACTGTGTCTCCATGACTAGATCGGGGGGTCCCTCATGACCTGGATGCCCCTCTCTTGTCTTTTACCCTAACCCCCAGCTCTGCTCATGCCAGACCCAGTGCATGGGAATGGAGGTAATCCCCCTCCAGTCCTGAGGGCTTGGGACACAGACTGGACCTTAAGGGATGGGGGATAGAAAGAACACCCAGAGACACCCACCCCTGTGTGCCCTGGGCCACAGTGACTTCCAGCGACAGGAATCGTTCAAAGGTGGCACAGAGTGTCTTCTAAGAGCGTGACTTCCCTATAGTGGGAGGTGTCATAGGTGATGCAGTGGAGAGAGTGCCGGATTTGGAATCAGGGAGACCCGAGATTGAACTTTGCCTGTGTGACTGAGCAAGTCACTGAACTTTTCTGTGCCTCAGTCTTCTTATTGGCGAAATGGGGAAAATAACAGCACCTATCTCACGGCATCATTGTGAAGCTCAAATGAGGATAAAGATGGCTAGGATTTCTAGAGAACTGGAAGAATGATAATAGCTAGCATTCACTTATGCTCTTGAGATTTGCAAAGTACTTTAAAAATATTATCTTATTTTATCCTTACATCAGAGCAAGGAAGCCTGTCTGAATAATAGAGCCCAAAGACTGCCGCTGTCTGCCCCTATCATGCTCAGCTTCCACATGAGTTACCCTGGATAAAGCATTTCACGTACCTTAAAGTGTTATACCAATGCTAGCTACTTGTAGTAGTTACAGAGATTTCTAGTAGGCTGTAGGTGGGGAGTGCCTCGTAGCCGGATGATCAGGGCTTCTTCGATGAGCCTAACTGATCTGGCTCCCATCAGTGACCCTGCTGCCCAGAAGAGCCCTGGTCCGACAAGGCCAGCCCTCACGTCAGAAGGAGGGGCTGTGCTGGTCAGTGTTTACCACTAGCCATGCTGCTGAAGGGCAGTGAGTAGGTACGACATACTTTTAAATTTAATCTTCATTATTAATATTTTCCCCATCACTTTTTAAAGTCTGGACAATCAACAAAATGATAAATCAAACCCTGACTTGTAGTTTGCCGATTTCTGAGGTTTAAATGCTCACCATGGAAATTTAACAATCAGCTCTCACAGCTCTGCATCCAGAAGGGACCTCCAAGGTAATCTAGTCCAACATCCTTATTTCATAGATGAGGAGAGGTGAGTTGATGTGGGGCCACAGATGTAGAGCCAGAAGGAACCATTTTCTTCTAACCCTCTCGTTTATGTATGAGGAATCTAAGATTAAATGACTTCCCTGAGATCACACAGCTAGAAAGTAGAGGAAGTAAGATTTGAACCCAGATAGAGCGCTGGGCCTGGAGTCGGTAAGACTCATCTTCCTGAGTTCAAATCTGGCCTCAGACACTTACTAGCTGTGTGACCCTGGGCAAGTCACCCTGCCTGCCTCAGTTTCCTCATCTGTAAAGGAAATGGCAAACCACTCTAGGATCTCTGCCAAGAAAACCCTAAATGGGGTCATGAAGAGTCAGACAGGACTGACCAGCAACTCGTCTGTTGCTGCAGCTGCCTCTGAGCAGGCCAGATGGCCAGAGGTGCCTGGCTGTCCCACCTGGGGAGCTCCCGACGGCCACCACCGGAGCGGGCAGGACCTCGTCTGAACACCAAAGCCTGCAGACTGCCATTGTGTGTCCCTGTTGTGGTCTGAGAGCTCATTAGGAATACCATGCTGCTCTAATTAGTCTTCCCAGAAAAAAACAATATTTTAAATCAAAGCCAGGTTTGGGGGTGGGGACCAGGGGGAGGATTTAGTAACTTATAAAATAAATTGCCCAACTTTCTAGGGGCGTTGGGGAGGGGGGAGACAGGTAGAACAGCTCCTGGCAAATTTCCTGAAAACCAAGGTTCATTCCCACCTCTGACTTAGGGGAGACAATTCCCCGGTGGGTCTTTGTCAGCATCTGGACCCCCCTTTCCTCCCCACACTTGGCATGCAGAGGGAGAAGTGGGTCTCTGTCTCTGCCATCGGAGCGAGCCCCTTAGGGTGGATCCGGGGGGTGGAGGGGTGGATGCTACTCTAGCCTCCTGCCCTCACTAACAGCAGCTGGACCCGGGAGGCTGGCCCTCAGCTCCAGACCCCTGGCTGCACACTGCCCCCAGGACGGGATCACCTCCTTTCCCAATGAGAGCAAGGGGCCTCCTTCTCCTCCACACTTTAGTCCCCGTCCCAGCACACACAGGGGCCTCAGGAAATCCCAAATGGAAGAGCTTTTTTGACTTTACTCCTTCTGGCTATGGTGCCCTGCTTTTGTCTTCTGAACAAAGAGAAGACGGGAGGAGAAGGGGGAGAGGACAGAGGAGTGGGGCTGGGCTAGGAAGGAGACTGAAAGAAAGAATAAGAACCGTGTGCTGGGAGGTTTGGGGGTTTTTTCCTTTGTACCTTGCACTTAAGGAGGGCCTACATTTTATGAATAGGGCAGTGGATAGAGCCATTGGCCTGGAGTCAAGAAGGCTCATCCTCCTGAGTTCAAATCTGGTCTCTGATACCTACTAACTGTGTGACCCCGCTCAAGCCACTTCACCCTGTTTGCCTCAGTTTCCTCATCTGTATAATGAGCTGGAGAAGGACATGGCAAACCATTCTAGTATCTTTGCCAAGAAAACCCCAAATGGGGTCAACAGAGACTAGGATATGACTGAAAAATGACTCAACAACAGAAAACATTCCATGGATGGGGGCAGGGTGATCTGTGTGAAGAATCTGGGAAACAGCTTAACTGGAAAATAGAATACAGGACAGGGAGAAACACGAAATAAAGCCGGAAAGACAGGAGGAACTCAGAGCAGGGAGTCTGCAGTCTGTCCTAGAGGCGCGGGGCAGCACGATACGGTCAGACATGTGCCTCAGGAAGATTACGCTGAGCTGTGTGGAAGACAGCTCAGAGGCTCTCGCCATGACCCAGGGATGATTCTAATAGCATGTAACACAAAATGAGCGCCCCCAGACCAGGGGTCTCCTCCCGAGTCAGTTTCTCCCTCCAACATTCAGTGCCAGGTCAGTCCAGAAAGGTCTCTAGAGGCTGCTGGTTTGGATATCCCCGCTGGGAGCAAGCTTTCTGAGGGCACAGACTCGTCTTACCTTTCTTTGTATTCCAGCGCTTCGCACAGTGCCTGCCGTGTAATAAGTGTTTAATAAATGCTTGTTTGGTTGATTGATTGGATCGAATACTGATTGAATGATTAATTGTACCCAGTTTTTAAAGGAATACAGCCTCTTCACTTCCTGCCTGGTAATGAAGGCTACCCCCAAAGAGTGGACTATCACAAGAGCTCAGCACCACAGTGTCAAAAAGGACCTCAAGTATCACCTGATCCAAGAATCCCCCTTAAACCCCCCCCAACGAGTGGTCATCCCCACTTTGATTGAAGACCTCCATTGAAAGAGAAACTCTCGGTCTTCCACAGCAGCTCATTCTACTTGGGGACAGACGGCACTCAGCACTTGGAAGTTTCTCCTTACGTCAAGCCTAAATCTTTGCTCTTCCCACCTAATGTTCCTAGTACCCTCCTCTGGGGACAAGCAGAATCAATCTAACCATTTTCTCCATGACAGCCCCTCAAACACTTGAAGACAGCCATTAGGTCTCACCTCTCCAGTCTTTTCTTTTCTAGTGCCTTAAAATGCTGCTCCTAAGGCGTGGAGTCAAGGACTTTAGCCCCCTATTTGCCCTTCTTTGAACACTCCATTTATCAGTTTCTTTCCTAAAATGTGGTGCCCCAGGCTGAACATGATACTGCCGGTATTGTCTCCAGGTCATGCATCACCAGCTGCCTTTTGGCTAAGATCATCTCAAACTCAGCACACCCAAACCTGAACTCATTACCCTCCCCGGCCCCAAACCCTCCACTCTTTTCACCTTTCCTGTTATTTTCAAGGACCTCACTGCCCCCTGGCTCACAGCCTCAGGGTCATGCTCAATCTTCCCTGGCTCTCACCCCACGTTTCCAATCCGTTAGCAAATCTCGTCATCGCTGTTTTCACCACAGCGATCACATACGTCCCCTTCTCCACATCCACACAGCCAGCACCCGAGTTCAGACCTTCATCTCCTCACTGTCCTTGTTCCAGCCCATCCTCTGCTTGCTTCAGTAGTCGCTCAAAAAATGCCCATTGACTGCCTGAAAGGACAACCTTGCCTTTCGCCTAAAGGTATCTTTCCAGCCCCAGTCTCCTATCCCCCTGCTTCCTCTAGCCTGCTCTTTCTCCTCATGCCCGGTACCTTCCAACTCTTCTCCTCCACATCTTCCTTATCCCTGGTCAGAGGAAAACCACTCACACCTCCTCCTCCAGGAAGCTGCTCATACCTGCATTGACTCCTGGACTCTGGAAAACGTGTGCCTCCCAATTGGCTGTAGGTTTTATACCATTCTGCAGCTTTTTCTCATTGCGTGGGTAAGTCCCAGGTCTATGAGTTTCTTTTTTCTTTTTTTTTTTTTAATTCATAGCCTTTAATATCTGGATCACCTCTGGTTTCTTTTTTTTTTTTAACATATGTTTTTAAAACTTTGGGTTCCAAATTTTCTCCCTTCCTCTCTCCCCACCCAGCCTCATTGAAAAGGCAAGCAACTCAATACAGGTTATACATGTGCAGTTATGCAAAACACTTCCATAGTAGTTCTGCTGTGAAAAACTAAATATATTTTCCTTCATCCTATCCTACCCCCCATTTATTCTATTCTCTCTTTTGACCCTGTCCTGGTGAGTTTCTTGAGGTCAAGGGGCTTTAACTGCCCCTTCTCTTGTCTCTCCGACAATAAGAGTCCAGGTGAATCTTACTAAAGGAACTTCGCCCAACCCCTTCTACCACTAGCTCCCAAGAAGGCTGGCACATTACCCAGAGTGGTCCAACTCACCTCGTCTGCAACACCAGAGATCTCTTCCGGCTGCGTCACGTGGGTTGGTTTATTCCATTAAAGTCGTTTAATTTTCAGGAGGGGAAGAAAGAGGGAATGAAAGAAAATAAACCCTTCATTAATAATCATTAATATTCATGGACCACTTTACATTGTTTGTAACAAGCTTCACAAACAGGATCTCATCTGCATCTTAGACCAGTCCATTGAGGTAGGGACTCCAAGTACCACAGACAGGGGCAGCTAGATGGCGCAACGGATATAGCACCAGCCCTGGAGTCAGGAGGACATGAGTTCAAATTCCTTCTCAGACACTTGACACTAGCTGTGTGACCCTGGGCAAATCACTTAACCCTGATTGCCTTACAAACAAACGAATGAATGAATGAATAGATATCTAGATAGATAGATAGATAGATAGATAGATAGATAGATAGATAGATAGATAGATAGCTGAAAATAAATTTTAAAAAGGAAGATCCAATGTAGTTGGAAATGAGAGAGAGAGAGAGAGAGAGAGAGAGAGAGAGAGAGAGAGAGAGAGAGAGAGAAGTACTACAGACAGAGGAGAAAACAGGTTCAGAGAAACCAAGTGACTTTCCTGGAACTACCCAGCCTGTAAGTATGAAAGGCAGGATAGTAACCCAAGTCTTCCAGGCTCCATGTCCAAACAGAACCACGCTGCCTATTTAGCTGCACATCTGATATCTCCCCCAAGAGAACACAAGCTCTCTGAGGGCAGGAACCATTTCATTTAGCTTAGCATAATAAGCAGTGCAGTCATCGGTTGATTACCTAATGGGAACTCTATCTCCTCAACAAACCCACAATCTGGATGACCTGTATGTCAGAAATAGCTGCCCAAATATGACTCCTCAGGCTAAATAAAAGAAAGATGTTCCTGACCATCAGAAGAAGGAGACCTTAGTAGAGGCTGCCAAGGCTAAGGGATGAGGGTGACCAATATTACAATCTTGTCTTCTATAACTTCTCTAGATGGCGAGGTGATGGGATCATCAGCCTTTGAGTGTCCTGTGTAAACAAAGACCTTTGTGCACAAGACTGTGTAAGAGCTGAAGAAAGGAGAAGTAGTTGGACAGAAACTCTACAAAGAATATGTGGTGAAGTATTCAAAAAATTGGATTTGAAATCAGAAGACTGAGCTATAAATGCCAGCTCTGCCTTTTACTAGCTGTTCCCTAAGTGGGCTTCAATTTTGTTGTCTGTAAAATGGTGACAACAGTATTCATACTACCCATTTCAAAGGCATATTGTGAGGAAAGCACTTTGTAAACCAGAAAATGAGGCTGCACACATTCCCTAGGTGTGTGCCCCCTCCTGTGTGATCACTGGCCACATGGTTCCCAACAGGTATGCCTTTTAATGCTTATTTGGGGTGGTGGGGTCCTCTCCTCCATTCATAGGAGGATAATCTGTGAAGTCTGTTCAAGGGGAATCTTTCCCATTGTTTATTTTGCTATGATATTTGATTTACCTTTAAATGAGTGTATTCTCTAGTTGGCTTGGTAAAAGAGCCACACTAATGGGGGCTCAGAAGATACGGGTTTCAGTGGATACACTAAGTGCCTCGAACCTGGGCCAAGTATTCTGGGGGCTCTGGGTGATATAATATTAATGATAATGCTGTTGATAGTAGTAACAACAATAATAAGAGAAGACAAACTCCTCAAGGAACCAGAGCTAGAATGGCCTGGCTAAGAAAAGAGTCAAATTCCCCAGCGTTGTCTGATGGAGGTTCATTTGCTTAGCCAGACATGGCTGGATTCTGTGACTGCTCTGTCCTTGGCCTGCCACCCAGGACAGAGCCAGGAAAGAGCTTTTGGGCTCACCTAATGTCACGACTGAGGGAGAGCCACAGCTGATTCTCAGTGCTCGGGAGGGTGACAAGATGGAAAGGGGGCTACATCCCTGCGGCAGCGGTCCTAGGAATGTGAGCCTGGGCTCTTGGATGGTGACAGCCTTGCCTGGCCAATATTTGCTAAGGGTTTTTTCTCTTTTTAATTTTTTTCTCAATTACATATACTAACATTCTACTGATTCTTTGGAAAGTGGAAAAAGAACAGTGCCTACCTCAAAACCAGGGATGTGATGGGTCGCTGGCTACAGGAAAAAGGAGGGGAAAAAATGTCATTCCTATCCATTCCATAAAGTGGGGCTATGAGATGCTTCTCCCAATTTCCCCCCTCCAATGAAATCCTTCCTCCAACCTCCCCATAAAAAGCCTCTCTGCTGAGTTATTTATCTGACCTTCTTCAAAACGCTACTCAAAAAACACCTCCTTCCAGCAGCCTTCCCTGATAAAGCCCACTCTGCTGCAACATGGGTACCCTTTCCTGACTGAGAGGAAGCAACCGTGACTTGAGCCCGTGGCTACGTCGGGGCCCCTAGGGACAGACCCAGCCAACTCTCTTAGCATAAAGCCTCCAGACCCAGGATCTCACCTCCCGCTCTGCCGCTCTCCCATGGACAATGTCTCACCTTCTCCCTCATGATGAGCTCAAAGGCTGCAAGCAGCTCCCCGGCAGGCCGGCTTCCCCTCACAACTGGGAACCACGTCAGCCGCGGCGCCCGGTGCAGACTGGGTCGGCAGATGCAGCGTCCTAGGTACTCATCGGCGCCCTAGGAGAAACGCGGAGGAGTCTGGCTTCACAAGCCATGCTCTGAGTCACTGAAAAACCAACGCGGACCCCAGAGAGCAGGCAGAGAGACACACCTCCCTCGTCTCAGCACCAGAGCGAGGGCCCGTGAGGGCAGAATGTCGCATACACTGCCAAGTGCGTCACTGGATGAGTCGCTTTTTAACTATTTTTCTTTATTACAGGGAGAGCTCAATTCTAAGGCAGGAAGGGGTTTGGTAAGAAGATATATACGGAAATGATAAACATCTCATTTGATCCTTAACAACAACAAACCTGGCAGGTAAATGCTGCTGTTACCCTCATTTTACAAATAAGTAAACTGAGGCTGGGAGAGACGTAAAAGGATCTGACCCAAGTCAGAGGCAGAATTCAAAACCAAGCTCTCCTGATTTTAAGTCAGGTCCTGGCCACTGCACCAGACTGCCTCCTTCCTCATCACAAGGACCTCTTCATGCTGCTCTGGGCTTCAGACAGGACCTTTGGGTGGGGTGGAAGAGCCAGAGGGAGGTAGACTCACGTAGGTGTCATGATCGTACAACTCCACCACAATGCTGGGGGGGTTCTCTGAGATAGTCTCGGGGTCCCCGAAGATCTCAATCTCATAGAAGATGAGCGTCTGGTCCCAGGTGGGATTCAATGTATTCTTCGCCACCACCGTCTTCTGGCTTTGGTGGAGGAAGGAGACGATGGCATACGGGTCTGCGTCAGGCAATGAGGAAGAAGAGACAGGACAAAATTGTGAGAAAGCAGACCTCTGACTCATGGTGGAAAGGAGTCAAGCCACTGCGGACTGCCAGGAATCATTAAAGAGAACCTGGAGAAGTGGGTGGGGCCGGTCACCTGAGCCAGGTCATCGGCTCGGGACCTGCTGGTCATCTCTGCAAATGAAAAGACTGAAGACCTCAGTGGGCAGTCCAGCAGGGAGCTCATCTCCGAATGGGGAGAAGACTCAGATTCTGGTCCTTGGAAGTAGCTGACGTGATACAGACAGGACGTCAGAACGAGGATGGGGCGACCAGGCAGCTGCCTCCAAGACCCTTTTACCACGGCATCTTTTTCTTTTTTATTTGTTTGTTTGTTTGTTGTTAGGCAATTGGGGTTAAGTGACTTGCCCAGGGTCACACAGCTAGTAAGTGTCAAGTGTTTGGTGGCCGGATTTGAACTCAGGTCCTCCTGACTTCAGGGCCGGCGCTCTATCCACTGCGCCACCCAGCCGCCCACACGGCATCTTTTTCTTCAGGCACAACTTACTTCCTCCCCTGCTGTACCCCACTACCTACTGCCTCCCCTTCCCCCCCTTCTCCCAGGGGACGAGGGTTCCTAGGTGAGAAGCAGGTCAGCCTCTCTGGGGATGGGCCACCACCTAGCCAGTATTCTGCACCATTCCGGGACGCTGTGCTCTCTGCACCCATCACTACCAAATCCTGTTCAACTAATTAATTCAGGATCTAAGAATTCCTGGCCATAGTTCTACCTGAGGATACTGATGCAAGACATCAAGGTCCCAGCTTGGCTCCCAGAACCACAGCTGAGCGTCAGTAAGCATGTATTAAGCACCTGCTATGTGCCGGGCACTGAGAATAAGAAGAAAAGTAAAATAAAGTCCCTGCCCTAGAGGAGCTCACAGTCTAACGGAGAAGACAGCCGTGCGAGCAACTACGAACAAACTTGCTAGTGACGATATAAACGGGAAATAATCCAGAGACAGAAGGTGCTAGAGTTAAAGGGGATGGGGAAAAGCTTCCAGGAGAGACTGGAAGGAAGCCAGGATGGGGGAAATGAGGAGCCAGAGCGTTGCAGGCACGGCCAGGGAGAATGCCCGGAGCTGAGAGACGGGGCGTCTCCTCCAGGAACACCTAGCAGGCCGGCATCACTGTGTCAAAGAGTACGTGCTGGGGCATGAGGTCCGCTGAGTCCAGCAGAGAGAAAGGGGCGCATGGTCACAGTTCGACTCCAGGGGCAAGAGTCTGAGAGGCGCTCAGTGCACAGAGAAGGCAGCGTTGAGGTCAGTGAAGGATAACTGGAAGTGAGGGGAGGAATTTTAGGGGACAGAAAAGGAAGAGACTTCCTCACTCGGGACCACCCAGGAAAAGCTGAGGGAAAGAGCCAGATTTGGGGACTAGATCTCCCATGAGCTGAAAACAGCCTTGAATGTTTGCCCTAGGGGATAGGGCAGGTTCTGAGGAAGGAGGATGGGGCTGCCCATTTGTCCTTTCTCAGATCATGGGGATAAGGCGGGGAGGAGGAGTGGTCGGTCAGGTCTTCTGGAGAGATATCAGAATAATGAAGAGGACACTGGCCATGGAGTACCAGTCCTGGCTCTGTTTGTTAACTAACTGTGTGTCCTTGGAAAAATTTCTTAACCTCTCTGGGCCCCACTGTCCTCATCTGTAAAATGAGAGGGTTGAATTGGATGGAGCTTCCAGCATCCTATGACATTCTGACTCCTGGCTTAGCCTCCAAGGCACAGACCCAGGCAGGGTAAGAGATGCCTACAACCCTAGACCTGGCCAAGAGCAGCGTTAGCATCTTCTAACACTAATAATAATCACTAGCATCTATATCATGCTCTAAGATTTATAACGCACTTTGCAAATATGATCTCTTTTGATCCCCACAAGGACCTGTGAGGTAAGTACTCTCACTGCCCCCATTTTGTAGATGAGGAAGCTGAGGCAGATGGGTTAATTGGCTTGTCCAGAGTCACAGAGCTGATGAGTGTGGGAGGCAGGATTTGATATCTTCCAGATAAACAAAGGAACAATGGGGACCCTTCCATTCTCATCCCACACACTCTCGTCCTCCTTTCTATGTTGTCTCCCCCCACCAATTAAAATATGTCCTTTTTGCTTGTATTTCTCAGTGTTCAGCACAATGCCCGGCACAACATGAGTACATAACATAGGCTTTATCAATCCATAATAATAATCACTAACATTGATGTAGGGCTTTAGTGTCCACGAAATGGAACCGGCCAAGATGGCGAGGAAAGGCAGGGACTCACCTGTGCTCTCCCCTCTTAGTAACTTTAAAACAACACCTCAAAATGAATTCTGGAGCGGCAGAACCTAGAAAAGGATGGGGTAAAACGATTTTCCAGCCCAAGACAACTCAGAAGGTCGGCAGGAAGGTCGTCTGTCTGACTTGGGGAGTGAACCACAGTCTAGCCCAGCCCAGGACTCTCCTGGCAAGCCAGGCTTCGAGGGTGACTGAATTAGGGGTGGCAGCTTCCAGAGCTCTCAGCCCACAGATGGTGAGCAGGTTGGACAACTGGCCAGAAGGAGAGTGCAGGGGACTCTTTGCTGGCACTGGGAGCAGAACTCTGTTGTGTTGCGCATACATGGCTCTGGGTCACAATCCCAGGGTGAGGACGAGCACTAGCAGGAGCAGGGGCCCTGGTCACTCACAGACCAGAGCACAGGTCAGGAGAGTAGTGACCACACCTCTCCTTAGATCACACCACCTTGGAAGCACGAGAAACTTACAAACCCCCAGAATTAGCTCTGAAATCAGCAGCACAAAAAACCTGAGGTTTGGCACAGTACCCCCTCCACCCAAGAAGCAGAGCCCAACTTTAACATAAAGTTAAAAGTCAAGAAAAAGGCTCAAAAATGAGCAAACAACAATAAAAAATAACCTGACTATAGAAAGTTACGATGGTGACCAAGAAGATCAAAATACAAGTTCAGAAGAAAACAATGTCAAAACAGCTATATCCAAAACCTCAAAGAAAAAAGTGAATTTGGTGGAGCCAGGTGGCGCAGTGGATAGAGCGCTAGCCCTGGATTCAGAAGGACCTGAGTTCAAATCCAGCCTCAGACACAGCTGTGTGACTCTGGGCAAGTCACTTAACCCCATTGCCTAGCCAAAAAAAAAAAAATCAAAATCAAAGAAAAGAAAAGAAAAAAGTGAATTGGTCTCACACCTCAAAAAAAGAATTTCTAGAAGAGCTCAAAAAGGATTTTAAAAATCAAATATGAGAAGTAGAGGGAAATGGGTAAAAGAAACTAAAGCGATGCAAGATAATCATGAAAACAAGAGTCAACAGTTTGGTAAAGGAGGTACAAATAAATATTGAAGAAAATAACATCTTAAAAAACAGAATAGGTCAAATGGCAAAAGAGGCACAAAAATCCAATGAAGAGAAGAATACCTTAAAAAGCAGAATTAGCCAAATGGATAAAGAGGTACAAAAGCTTACTGAAGAAAATAATTCCTTAAAAAATTGAATAGGCAAGTGGAAGCTAACGTTTCCATGAGACATCAAGAAACAATAAAACAAAATTATGAAAAAAATAGAAGAAAATGTGTGATATCTCATTGGAAAAACAATTGACCTGGAAAATAGAATGAGGAGAGATCATTTAAGAATTATTGGATTTCTTGAAAGACATGACCAAAAAACAAATAAAAGAGCCTAGACATCGTTTTTCAAGAAACTATCAAAGAGGGGCAGCCAGGTAGCACAGTGGATTGAGCACCGGCCCTGAAGTCAAGAGGACCTGGGTTCAAATCCAGCCTCAGACCAAACACTTGACACTTACTAGCTGTGTGACCCTGGGCAAGTCACTTAATCCCAATTGCCTAAAAAGAAAAAAAAACTGGGGAAAAAAATATCAAAGAAAGTTGCCCTATCATAGAACCATATGGCAAAATAGAAATTAAAAGAATCCACCAATCACCTCCTGAAAGAGATCCTAAAATGAAAATTTTGTTATAATTTTATTATATAGCAATATTATAGCCAAATTCCATAGCTCCCAGGTCAACGAGAAAATATCATAAGCAGCCAGATAGAAACAATCCAAATATTGTGGAACCATGGTCAGGATAACACAAGATTTAGCAGCTTCTACATTAAAAGAGAGAGGAGAGCTTGGGATGTGATATTCCAGAAGGTAAAGGAGCTAGGATTACAACCAGGAATCACTTACCCAACAAAACTAGGCATAATCCTTCTGGGGGGAAATGGATATTTAATGAAATAAAGGGCTTTCAAGCATTTTTGATGAAAAGACCAGAGCTGAATAGAAAATCTGACTCTCAAATACAAGACTCAAAAGAAGCATAAAAAGGTAAACAGGAAAAAACAGGAAAAAGAAATCATAAAGAATTCAAAAAGGTTAAACGGTTTACATACCTACATGGGAACATGATACTTGTAACTCTTAAGAACTTTCTCATTATTAGGGCAATTAGGAGTACATATAGACAGAGGATACAGGTGTGAGTTGACTATGATGGGATGATATCTAAAAAATAAAATTAAGGGGTGAGAAAGAAGAATGCACTGGGAGAAAGGGAAAGGGAGAGGTAGAAGGTGGTAAATTATCTCACATAAAAGAGGTGTAAAGAAGCTTTTACAGTTGAGGAGAAGATGGAGGTGGCAGACAACAGCTGAACCTTGCTCTCATCAGAGTTTATTCAAAGAATGAATAACATACACATTTAGGTATAGAAATCTATCTTACCCTACAGGGAAGTAGAAAGGGAAGGTGTGTGTTGTGGGGGTGGGTTATAATAGAAAGGAGGGTAGATTGGGGGAGGTAGTACTCAGAAGCAAGATACTTTTGAGGAGGGACAGGGTGAAAGGAGAAAGAGAGAAGGATAAACAAGAGGAAAATAGGATGGAAGGAAATACACAATAATCATAAAAAATTTAAAAAATGTACAGCTTGTCTCTGATAAAGGCCTCATTT